CGCTTAGGGTGAGGCCCCGTGTTGCCAGGAGCTGGCCTTTTGCTCACTGCTGGGCCGGGTTACTCTCCAGTTGGACACACGTGGTCTCACAGAACATCAGCATCAGACAAGGACATCCCGAGACCATGGCAAACTGAGAGAAAATGACACCACACTGCATTTTGTCTAAACACAGACAAACACAAGGCAGAGAGCACTCACAAAAATACCAGCCACCTGCAGCCAGTGGCTGCCATTTTGGACATGCTGACACAGAAAAATCCCTTGTTCCAGAATGTTCTATTGGACAGAACTGCTCTTCATATTGTCTGGGTTTCCAGTCACAGCACTAGACCCGTGAAAAATGAAGGGGCCAATATCTCTCTGACAGACGACACCACATTTCTGTCTGGGACATGAGTACATATCAAGCTGCTGTATAACAAACCAAACTAGGTTACCTGTGGGCCTGGTGCCTTCAAGCACAAACTGTATTCAGTTCAAACAGGAAACACCTGTCTCCCCATCTCCTTTCCCAGACTGAAGACACTCTCGGAAATCTCATTTCCAAGGGGTGACCTTTCTCTTAGTACAACTCAGGGGCAATGCTTTCAGCAGAGGGTGGGGAGGCAGGGATCCCACCTCAGGGAGAGGGGTTCTAGGAAGTGAGGAGGGACACAAGGCCGGGGCCAGTAGGGAGACTCCCCCTGGTTTACTCAGAACAACCATTCTCACAGTGTGTTCTGTGGAACCCTTGAGGTTTCTAAGGCCCTTCCATGGGATCTATGAGGTCCAATTTATTTTTCGTAGGATTAAGGACATCCTTGCTTTGTCACTGTGCTCACATGTGCATAGAGGTAAACTCAGCAGGAATGGAGGCCGGGACACCCAACTGCTAAGCAGGCATTCTTCACCACCACCCCTCACAGACAAGAAAACAAAACCAGTGTCACTTTAGAATGATGCAGTCAAGGGATTGAAAAGTATTATCTTTACTAAATCATCATCCTTAACTAAACATTTACAAAATATCTCAGCTTCCCATCAAGATGGCTGTGTAGGTAAATGTGGTATTTTCATCACCCCAGGACCACATCAAAATCACAACTTCACTACAGACAACCACCATTCAGAACCACCTGAAATCTAGCTGAACACAAGCCCTACAACCAGGGAATGAAAGAAGCCACATTGAGACTGAAAGGAGGGGACACATGCAGAGCAGGCTGGTCCCACACTTGCATGTGGCTGATAAAAATTGAAAGGGGTATGTCAGCTGTGGAGGCGCCCTGAGGAGTGAGGCATCCCTGCCCTAAATGACACTCCTCAGCCCAGAGTTTCTGTGCCAGGAGGTCAGGTCTCCACAACTTCTGGCTGGAAGAACTAGCGGTGATGGTGGCTGAGTGACACACAGGCTCTGGAGTCCCAGGCAGTTCCTCTTAAAGGTCTGCACACCCACAGACATGCTCCGAGCTCTGGTGCTGGAATGGCAGCTCAGAAAGGAACCAGGAACATACCGGGAGCAACTGGATTCTCTGGCATCAGAGTGAGAGCTGAGGGCAGCTGTCTCCCAGACACAAGTACTGGCAGAGGCCATTGTCCTTTTCCGAGCCCTCCCCCACTCAGAGCTGGCAGGTGGGCACCATATCTGAGTCTCCAACAACCTGGCTCACACTCCTTGCCACACCCTGATGATTGCCCAAACACCACCCCACCCAACTAACGGGCCCCCCCCATTGCCCTTTCTAGTGATATTTCCATGCAAACTGTGTGTCTTGGCTCATGCTACAGATTTTCCTAAAGTGTCTCAAACAAGCAGTATCTGGCCTAGGCATGCCCTGTACCTCCAGCTAAGTGGCCCCAGGTCTGGTGCTAGTGGCAGCTGGCCTTGGTTTGCAGCTTGGCCTCTCCCAGGCACCTCCAAGCCCAGCACAAGGAGCAGCCATCTACAGATTGCTTTGTTTTGCTCATGCTGGGCAGCCCCAGGCCAGGCATAGGTGGTAGCTGACTGTGGCCTGCAGCTCCCAAGAGGACCTTGAGCCAGCACCACTGATGGAGTGCTTCAGACCAGGAAAAAGCATCACTCAACCACCTCCACAGAAACACACTCAAGGGGCAGACTCAGCAGGCACCAGAGCCTCCACGGTGATTGCGGCCAGTCCTCGCAGCTGATCAGCCTGGGGATAAATCCTTTCCATTGCCAACAGCAGTACTGACTCAACTATAACAGCAGGGTGCACACGGCCCACAAGGGGGTGCACCAAGAGTGCCCTGGTTGGGTCACCAGGGTGGCTGCAGCACTGGGCCCTCTGGGACACCTACTGCATGGGGACACTCTACAAAGACCAGGAGATGCTGCAGCTCTGTCTAACACACAGAAAGAAACACAGGAAAGCTGCCTAAATAGGAAGCAAAGCATCATGTCCCAAATGAAAGAACAGAACAAAACTCTAGGAGAACTAAACACAATGGGGACAAGCATCCTACCAGATGCAGAGTTCAAAACACTGCTTATAAGGGTGCTTAGTGAACTCAGGGGAAGAGTAGATGGCATCAGTGTGGAGCTCAGCAAACAGATAGGGCACATAAAAAATGGAGATAGAAAACATTACAAAACATTATAAGTGAAAAGTTCAATTACCGACATGAACAACTTATTGTAGGGAATCAACAATAGAGTTAATGAAACACAGGATGAAATAAGAGTTTGAGAAGATAAGAAGCAGAAAACACCCAATGAGAACAGCAAAATGAAAAAGAATACCAAAAAATTAAGGATAGTATAAGGAGCCTCTGGAATAACTTCAAGCATACCCATATTTGCATTATGCTGGTGCCCAAAAGAGAGGAGAGAAAGCAAAGAATCAAAACCCTATGTTTTAAACAATGATTTGGAAAATTTCTCTAACCTGATAAAGGAAGTAGCCATAGAAGTCCAGAAACGGCAGAGTCCCAAACAAGATGAACCCAAAAAGGCCCACACCAAGAAACATCATTAAAATGCCAAAAGTTAAAGACAAGGAGATCATTTTAATAGCACCAAGATAAAATCAGTTAGTTACCTACAAGGGAGCTGTGGTAAGACTGCCAACTGATATCGCAACAGAAATTTTTCAGGTCAAAACAGATTAGCAAAGCTTTCATTTTTCACTGAAGGACAGATAAAGAGCTTCACAGAGAAGAAAAAGCTACAGCAGTTTAACTGCTCAACCAGTATTACAAGAAATGCTCAAGGGTCCTCTTTAAAATGAAGAAGAAAACTAAGCACAAACATGAATAATGAAATAGCTATAAGTACATATCCATCAAAAATTACTTTAAATGAAAGTAAATTAATTGCTGTAATATAAAGACACATGGTGGTTGAATGAATAACAGAACAACCCTCAGATATGCTATCTACAAGAGACTCAATTCTCATCGAAAGACAGAGACAGAAAGTAAAACGATGCAAAAAGGTATTTTATGGACAAGGAAACAAACAAACAAACACCTGGGGATAGCAGTCCTTCCACCAGACAACACAGACTTCAACAAAGGCGATATAACAAGAGGGAAAGAAGGACCCGCCATTTCCATTTCTTGGTATTTATCTGAAGAAACCCAAAACACTAACCAAAAAGACATCCACATCCACATGTTCATTGCAGTGTTATTTACAAAAGCCAACATATGGAAGCTACCTAAGTGTCCATCAAGAGATGATATGATTTTAAAAATTGGTGCATATGCACAACAAAGTCTGACTCAGCCACACACACACACACACAAAGAATGACGTCTCTCCATGGGCAACAACACAGTGGAGGGCACGGTGCTGAGTGAAACAGTCAGACAGAGAAGGACAAACGCCAGGTGACTGAGCCTGCATAAGGAATCTAACACATACGGTAATCAAGCGGAACAGAAACAGACTCATAGACACAGGGAACAGACTGATGGTTGCGGGATGGGAGGGGCTGAGTGGGCTGGGTAGAATGGTGAAGGGATTAAGAAGGACACATTGGTACAGAACAGTCATGGGGATGTAAAGTGCAGCACAGGGAATACAGTCATTAATATTGTAATAACTACATATGGTGTCAGGTGGGTACTGGATTTATCAGAGTGATTGGTTTGTAATTTATTTAAATGTCTATTCATAGAGTCATACACCTTAAACTAATATAATATTATACATCAACTGTCATTGAAAAATTTAAAAAATTAAAATAATTGTATCTTGAATTCAGTATATAAATGGATTAATTCTTAACTGTCCTTAACGAAAATGGAGAATTAAAAAAATACCATGTCTCCTATAATGACTGGGAAAGTACACAAACACACTCTGCTACATCCCCAAGTGCCATGAACCCAGGAAAGTGACCTGTGAGAGCTGAGTCAGCCTCTTCTTCACGGAACAGCAAGTTCACTTAAGAGAATGAGAGACACAGAACCTGTGATGACTGAGGTGTGGTGAACTGGCGAACACTCTCTCAAATGAAACGTGAGCTTCTCCCTCAAGGAGAGTCAGCAGGCAGTTGACACTTGACAGCACTTGTTGTCTGGATGGAATGGAAGCTCTCAGGGGAAAACCAGGATTCTGGCAAAGGTGTGTCTCACCACAGCAGCCAGACAGCTTCCCAGAGCTGACAGCTGTTTCCACAGGGATCTGTGGTAATGTTAACAAAAGTGATTTTTCATGGTGTGTCATTAAATGCATCAACACTGGGAGATCTCTATCACTTAGTGAAACAAGGCATTACTTTCAAATAATCCTGCATCAGTACAAGAGCCACTCAAGTAATGTAACAGGATAGGAGATACTCAATGGATTTGTTTCAGGTTCCACTTTGCAAAGAGCTTTTGAGGAACTACCACTTGTGAGGATTTAGGGTATGATGAAAGCTGGATACCCACACTTATCTGAAAAGGTTTTCAAAATGTTCCTCCTCTGTATTTGTGTGAGGCTGAATATTTTATTATATACTGCAACAAAAAAAGAGATTTAATGCAGACACAAATATGAAAATCCAGCAGACTTCCAAGGATACAGACAAGAAGTGAGCCTTGCAAACTATAAATATAAGCAGATTCACTCTTCTCACTATGTTGTTTGTTTTGTTTTGTTTTGTTTTGTTTTTTTGTGAAATGGCTATTTTTCACAAAAATATTATTTCTGTTAACATAGTTTATTAATACTATTCTAAATGAATTAAAAACTTTGTCAAACTGTTTTATTCCTTGTATGGTAAATATTGATAGCTATAACGCACACAAACAAAATCATTTTTGGGATTCTCCCTAATTTGTAAGACTCTATAGATACTCTGACACCGAAATGTTTTGACAGTCGCTGAATAAAACAGCATGTGGACCAGGACTCTGGGAGACAGCGGGAGAGTCCTCCGTGCACCGGGAGGGCACAGCGCAAAGTCTCGGGTCCCTAGACCTGGCTGCCAGGGTCTCATCCCAAGGACTGAGCCTGGACGCTCAATGCTCCGGGGTCATCTCCCCAGGGATTTCCCTTCTTCCTCTGGTGGCTTCTTCTGCCTGGATACTCATAACGCTAGAGTAGTTCTCACTTCAATTGGGTGGTGGGCTCTACAGAGGCCAATCAGCATCAACGTGGTTCCGGATATACTGACCACACCGAGAAGTAAAACTCATTCTCTCCAAACTATCAGGGTCCGGGTGTTGGGCCCCCGAGCTCTGCTACTGCTGCTCTCGGGGACCCTGGCGCTGACCGAGACCTGGGCGGGTGAGTGCGGGGTCGGGAGGGAACAGTCTCTGCGGGGCAGGAGCGAGGGGACCCGGAGGGGCGCAGGACTCCGGTACAGCACTTCTCCAGCACCCGCAGCCCAGACCCCAGACCCCCGAGTCCCTCCTCCGCCCCGACTCTACCCTCCCCCTCCTGTCAACCACCGTCCCTTTTTACGTTCCCACGGCCCCTGCCCACACGGGCACGACCGTGGACACCAGGACACGCGTCCTCCATGCCCTCAGGTCCCCACACGATGAGTATTCTCAGCATCGCCGTGTACGGATCAGGCCGCGGGAAGTCCCGGTTCATCGGAGTCAGCCAGGTGGACGACACGGAGATCCTGCGGTTCGACAGCGACGCCCGGAACCCCAGGCTGGAGCCGCGGGTGCTGTGGATGGAGCAGCGGTGGATGGAGAAGGAGATGCCAGATTATTGGAACCAGGAGACAGGGGTTTGCCAGCGCGAGGCACAGATTAACGAAGGGAACCTGAACAAGCTGCGCGCCCACTACAACCAGAGCGAGGACGGTGAGCCACGCCAGCCCGGCCCGGTCACGACCTCACCCCCCGCCCCTCACTGACCGGCTGCTGTCCCCCTGAGTCTCCGGGTCCGTGAGTCAGCTCCAGGCTGCAGAACCCCCCTGCCCCCATCCTGGGTGGAGCTCCCCGGGATTTGATCCCGTTTGATTTTCACATTCGGTTTAATCATGCGGGTCAGCTCCTGACAACTGGAGGCGGGACCGGGCTAAGTGGGCAGCGCTGACCCTGGGGCGGGGTCAGTGTCCCACACTTGGCAGGAAATGAGCCGCTGCTTCGTGGGATCTGATGGACGCTTCCTCCGGGGGTTCAGTCGGTTCGCCTACCACGGCACCGCCTACTTCGCCCTGAACGAGGACCTGCGCTCCTGGACCGTGGTCAACACGGCGGCCCCGAAAACCTGGCGCAAGTTGGTGGATCTCCCTGATGCGGAAGAGAAGAGGTTATTTCTGGAGAGACTCTGCGTGCACTGGCTTAACCAGCTCCTGGAGAAGGGGAAGGAGTCGCTGCTCAGAGCAGGTAGCAGGGCGAGGGCCTCCCCGAGGAGGGCATCTGTGGGCTGGGGCGGCTTCCTACAAGGAGAGGAGGAAATGGGGCAGTGTCAGAATCCCCCTCCTGCTCGGGAGAGTAAAGAGTGCCCCAGGATTTCTTATTCTGTGACTCACCCGCAGGCCTAGTTTTCTCTAAAGCAGCGGTCCCCAAACTTTTGGCACCAGAAACAGGTTTCGTGGAAGATAAGTTTTCCACGGACCAAAGGGAGGGGTCTGCTGGTAGACAGGAGACAGAGCTCAGCTACTCGCTTCCTCCTGTGCTGCCCAGTTCCTAACAGGCCACCCACTAGTACCGGTTTGTAGCTCCTTGGTTGGGGATCGCCGCTCTAAAGAACCATAAGGGGCCCATCCCCTCCCTGAAACACCCACAGCGGTTCCCTCACACCCTGCAGCACCTGGTGCACCAGGACGCTCTCCTGGTTCTGGGGCTGAGACCTTCTTTGTAGGCCTGGCTCCTGCTTTTCTGAGTCATGAACTAGCACCTGAGTCTGTGTCTCCACTTAGAGACCTAGGTACTCCTACCCTATGTTCTCACCTTTTTTCTGGAACTTTCCAAGACATAGGAGATTATCTCCAATGCCTCTGTCCCTGCTAGTGTCTGAATGGTGCACTCCCTTCCCCCACCCCACTGTCCTGTCCACTCTCAGGGTGGTCACATGAGCACTGCTGGAGTGTCCCATGACCATGCAAAGTTCCTGAATTTTCTCACCCTCCCCTCAGACCCTCCAAAGACACACCTGACCCACCACCTCATCTCTGACCACAAGGTCACCCTGAGGTGCTGGGCCCTGGGCTTCTACCCTGCGGATATCACCCTGACCTGGCAGCGTGAAGGGGAGGACGTGACCCAGGACATGGAGCTGGTGGAGACCAGGCCTGCAGGGGATGGGACCATCCAGAAGTGTGCAGCTGTGGTTGTGCCCCCTGGAGAGGAGCAGAGATACATGTCCCATATGCAGCATGAGGGACTGCCTGAGCCCCTGACCCTGAGATGGGGTGAGGAGGGGATGTGGGGACAGAGCCTCTCCTCTGGGTGTCCCTGAGCAGGGTCAGGACTCAGGTCTGAGGGTGACCTCTCACCTTCCCCTCACAGACCCCCCTCCTCAGACCTCCATCACCCTCATGGGCATCCCTGCTGCCCTGGGTCTCCTTGGAGGTGCTGCTGCTGCAGCTGTGGCCGCTGGAGCTGTGCTGTGGAGGAGGAAGGGCTCAGGTGGGCAAGGGTTGGGGCTGAGTTTCCTGTCCCCTGGGGGTCAAGACCAGATGGAAGTGTGCTCTGCCTCCTTTATGGGCATTGTAACCCCACACGGGTGCTTGTCCATCTGGGGCCTATTTGCTAACACTGAGTCTTTAGTGAGGTCCATGGGAAAGTGAAGGACAAATTTATCACCTGATGATTCTAGTGATGGGGAGATTCCCAGATGTCACAGGTCAGTGGGGAAGGTCCCTTCTGAGAACAGACATCCAGATGGGCAGTTGATCTACTCCCCACACGTGTCCTTTCCCTGTATTTCCTGATCCTATCCTAGTGTTCAGTCACAGTTCTGGAACCTTCCCTGTGCTTCAGGAGTGTGGGGCTTCTTCAGGGTCATGGGACCCAGTCTTCCCTCTGACTTCTCACAGAACATTTTGTTCCCACAGGCAAAGGCAGGGAGAGGTGCACTCAGGCTGCCTGTAAGTCTGGGTGTCAGAGAAGTGACATTTGGGATCCTTGGGAGAGTGTGGGCTGGAGTCTGTGAGGGGGATCCCCCACCCCCTAACTCTGCTGTTGTGTCTCCCCCAGTCAGCGACAGTGCCAAGGGCTCTGAAGTGTCTCTCACAGCTCCTAAGGGTGAGACCCTGAGGGCAGGAAGTGGGGGGCTTGGGACCGAGGGGCACAATTGGGTTTTGGGGACTCTCAGAGTGGGACATTCTGAGGATGCAGTGGGCTGTGGGAGAATGTGACACTTCTGAGACTGACCTGAACTTCTTCATGACAACTTTCTTTCCCAGTGTGACAGAGCTGCTTTCTACAGGACTTGGTGCTAAATAGTCAGTCCAGCTGCCCTTTGGGATTATGAATCCCTGACTGCTGATTGTACATTAGTGTGTGTGTATATATATATATGTATATGTAAACATAATAGATGGACATTAAACACTCCAAGGTGTATTGTTTCTGGTAGGCGTTATTCTGTCTACACCTTCACCCTGTTTGTTAACCTGTTCTAAGTCACTTTACATTCATAAACTTACCATGAGGTGTGAAGATAACCAGGGAGGGACAGACTGTGTGACACAGGAAAGGGGACCTCACGTCTCCCCACTGATGTTCCCTGTGACCTCCTGTGCTCCATGCGCAATTAAGGGTTTCTTCCCGCACATCCGAATGTGACCTTTTGTGCCTCTAGCCATAGCTGGTTGAGTCCCCTGATTCTAAATGAGTGCCATTTTATAGACTAGGAGTCTCCCCCAAGCTTTCAGGGCCCCTTATTGTAGACTTGAGGGGTATCTGTGTGGGGTGCAGAGAGCTGACCAACAGAAGGTGAGAACAGCAGGAAGTGTTCCAGCATCCATTGCAGACACTGCTCTCATTCTGTGGATGCTGAGTCCTGGAAGGTCATGGCCAAGGAGCCCATGTCCTTAGTGGCTTCCTCTGAGAGTTCCTCCCCAACAGAGAGCCCTCAGGCCACAGGGTCAGTCTGGCTGCTGGGCTGAGAACAGAATCAGGAGACAAGGGACCAGCGAGGCAGGTGGGAAAAGTGTGGGGAAGCTCCCAGGGTTCCAGGCTGCAGGTGCTGGGTGTTCTGACGGGGCTGTGAGTGGTGGACACAGTGAGAAGGGACTGGACCCTGAAGGCATTTGGAAGATGGAGTTCACGGCATTTCCTAATGATTAAATTTCGGGTGTGGGAAAGGAGTCAAGGTGGACACCCCACATTTGTACTGTGCCAGCAGAAAGATAGGGTTATATCAGCAGAGATGGGGAGGACTCAGCAGAAAATTGTGTGGGGGAGGGGTGGGCATTTCAAGCTGTCAGCTGAAGAGAAGGTCAAGGTGAGATATCTGATAGACACACCAGTGAGGTGTCAGGTTGGACAGATGAGTGTGGGGACCTTGAGGAGAAATGTCTGGGCTGCAGACATAGGTGTGGACGCGATGATGACATTAAAGCCGTGAGCGTGGATGAGGCCTCCAAGGGAGCCAGGACTGTGGAAGACGAAAGAACAAGGACTGGACACTGCACCTCCCTGTCCCAACAGTGGGGACGTTCATCCTGGTGACCCACCCAGGTTGGTGACAGTCAGGTGTCCCTGTCATACAGTCACCATTTGGTGTGTGTCATTCATCAGTAATTTACAGGGAGATATTCTGAGATTGTCCTGCTGTGCTCTTCACCACTTCTACACTCACCCTCCTTAGCCCCTCTCATACCTTCCACCCAAGTCAGCGAAAATATTATGTTTGTCCTGTACTAGCCCTGAGTAGTTTTCACTCAGATGTACAGTATAGGGAATACAGTCAATAATATTGTTGTGAATATTTATGGTGTCAGATGGGTCCTAGATTTATCACACAGATTATTCAATAAGCTATGTAAATGTTTAACCTTTGCACTTTGCAGCTGAAACTAGTATAATATTGTATGTCAACTGTAATTGAAAAGTAAAAAAATATTCAAAGTTAAAAAAATTATAACTTGGACTTCATGCCCAATATTCTGAGAGCAGTTTTGGGGAGAAATTTGAGTATTTTGTGACAAGCCCACGAGCCACCCTGGTCTCGAGTAGACTTGGATGCACACAATTCTGTGATGCGGTAAGACCCGGGTTGGGAAAGGCCTTAAATCCACATTTCAATGTTCTTCCCACCCTCAGGAAGGAAAGGTAGTTCATAATTTGTCATACGAGGGTGGAAGGTACATGCTGTTTTCTCTACCGTGGGGTAAAGTCAAGAAGAGGATTTAGAAAGTGGCTCTCAGTTCAACATAATGAAAATCTCCAAATGCTCACTCTCTTCGATTAACCCCCTGACTGATTTTTTTGGAAGAAATAATGGAATCCAAAAATGTCTACATTAAACATAAAAGGATTTCTATGTGGGGTATTGGGAGCTCATTTTATTTCAGAAAAAGCTACAGACAGACCTGGGGCTGTGAGCAGCCAGAGCTGTGGGACTAGAACCCACAGAAAGACCAGTCTGGGTCACAGGGATGACGGTGTGAGGGACTTGGGGACAAGCTCTGACAAGAGAAGGAGCTGAAGGAAAGGGCCCAGCAGGAAACACCAAGATGGGAGCTGCAGGCACAGATGTCCCTGCACCCCAATGACATGTGATCTAAGCTCAAGCTCTACCCAGGGGACAGGGGACACTTTCTGTGTCTCCTGCCCACTGCTCCTGAGGGCATCTCAGTCATTGCCATCTCTATCCATGGTCACCAGACCTGCCTGAGGGTGCCATCCTGTGGTCATGTCCTGTGTCACATGCACTGTCCTCAAGGTCTTGCCCAGCGTCTCCCTGGTGCTTCACCTGCACAGACACCTCCAGAGGCTACAGCACATTCACACTCCACAGCAGCCACCAATGCCTTCCAGAGACCAGAACCACCCACACCATCCTGATGCTGGTGGTCACCTCTGTCACATCCTACATACTGGAACCCATTTTCACTTGAGTTACATCCCTGTGTGAGTGGGTCCCCATCTCTGGTGGGTGCAGACCTCCCCTAGTTGGCTTCCTGTTCTCCTGCTCTTCGCCCCTCACTGCGGCTGCTCAGGGATCCTAGAGCTCCTGGGGTCATGAACTGTTGAAAGGGACTGTTGACAATCTAATCTGTGGGTGTCTGTTTATAATATTCTTTTTTTTTATCATTTTGCAGTATTTCATTTCACTATTTTTTCTGTCTTATTTTTGTTTTAATTGTTGTTCAAGTAATAATATTCTTAATTACACTGTTTAGTGATCCTTCACTGAATGCCAATGTTGTGCATAAAATCCACGGTGAAGTGTATTTGTAACTTAAAATATAACTGACACACAACCTAGTGTAAGTGTAAGGTGCCCAATGTGTTTATGTGATCACTTACATTCACTCATGTGCCACCTAACGGTGGTGATCCGCCCTGAGAAGCGTGTGGTTGTGTGATGTTGTGGTTGTGCGAACAGCACAGAGGCCCTCACACCTGGATGGTCTCCCTACTGCTCACCTGGACTGCAGGGCTCAGCCTGTTGCTCCTGGGCTGCAAGCCTGCACAGCACGTTACTGCACAAAACAACACAAGATTAAATCAACACGGGAAAATGACGCCCTCAGGAGACTCAGTAAACACATGTATGAGGCTGCGGCAGCCATAAAAAGCACACTGTTTACTGCAAAACGTTTTTTAAATCTTCAACCAAGGAGGTGTTTATTGATGAGAGACAGAGAGAGAGAGAAACATAGATCAGTTACCTTTACTTCCTCTGCAGCCAACTCCTGTTTGCATGTGAGTGGGCTTTAACGTGCACAGATGAACGAATCCCTTTAGTAAGAATTTCTCATTTATAAGGTTAACATTTTAAATTTTTACAGTGAATATACATTCATCATATGAATTGTTTATTATCTATGTTCACATAATTAATTTAAAAAGCATTGTTGACGTGCATAAAAGGGAAAACAGATGGGGAGGAAAGTCAAGAGCTCAGCCCAGGGCTGACAGTGCTGGAATCCATGTCTGGGCTCTGGACAATGAACTTGCACACCTTCCCCGACTCCTCACTCAGGGTGCTGCCCTCTGTGGAGGACAGCTGGGTCTTTCCCTTCTTTTCAGGCGTGGTCATTAGTATCTCATCAACTCTTTGTTGCTTTTAAGAAGTTGGTCTTTTTATTACACATGGCATTTTTAGCTAGTTTCAGGGGGAGGATTTGTCCACACCATCTAGTTCCCTTGTTCAGGAATGGGGATTTCTAAGGCAAACCGTTAGTCCTAGAGGACATGGTCAGAATCTGATCTGAAATCACAATCTGAGGATGATCTGTCAGGAGATTTATAAGTGCAGAGATTTGATGTAATTTGTTCTTTAAAACATTATTCATCCCAGCCAGGGTACATGGCTGGGTTGCAGGCCCATAACCCCCAGCAACTGCACATTGATGTTTCTCTCTCTCTATCTCCCTCCCTTCCCTCTCTAAAAATAAATAAATAAAATCTTTAAAAAAAACATTATTCATGTGCATACAAGAGTTTTCAAAAGACACCCAAGAATATAAAAATTAAATAAGTCACATGTCCCCCTGCTCCCTCAGTCACTGAACTTGTCTACCTACAAATAATCACAGTGAGTCACTTCTGATTTCTCCTCCCAGCAAAATACATCTGTGCACTGATGTTGCTGTTATGTCTGTGAAAATAGCTCAGGCCACAGACTGGGAGAAAATGTTTACAAACCACTTGTTTTAGACTACACATAAGAATTCTCAAACTCAATAATAAGGTAACAATAACTCAATAAAAACTGATGAAAATTCTTAACAGACACTTCACCAAGGAATTACATCAGCCCTGGGTGGGTGGCTGGGTTGGTTGGAGTGTTGTCCCATGTGGCAAAGGGTTGTGGCTTCGCTGCCTGCTCAGGGCACATTCCTGGGTGTAGTGTCCGACCCCCATCCAGGTGCCCATGGGAAGCAACCTATCGATGATTTCTCTCTCACATCAATGTTTTCCTCTCTCCCTTTTTCCTCTCTCTGAAAGCAATGGGAAAAAAAAGTCCATGCCAGTGGGGAAAAAAAATGTCCTTCAGTGAGAATAAAAAAAGAGGACAACAGAAAAAGAAAATAAGGAAGTAAAGTTTTATTCAAGGAAGTGGCACCAAACCCAGAGTCACAGGACAGTTGTTGCTCTTAAGACCTGGCTCCCTAATGGCTTCTAGGGGACTGAGGGACTTAGGGCCAAGGTCTCCACTGATTGGTCAGAACTCCAGGGAGGGGTGGGTATCATTGCATCTGGTTCTATGTCACCAATGTGGCCATTCTGTCTGGTTTTACAAGTTCATTCTACTACTCTCCCCAGAGTCTAAATCTTCATGAGCACGTATTTGAACACATCGGTTATTCAACCACCTCCATCTCTGCAGACACCTGTCACAGCCCTCAGTGTTCCCACAGGTGCACTGGCTCCCACACACCTGGAGCCAGGAGACACCCTGGATGTCTTCGCCTCACCCAAGGCAGCCCTGGCCTGTCCTGCTCTGGCTCCCTCGTCACCTGGATCCCACGTGTTCTTTTTTCTTTTTTTCTGGCTTTGCTTCCTCATTTTTCCCAGTTCACCTGATAGTATTTTCCAAAAGAGAACATGGAAACTTAACCATTAAAACTCTAAACACATGAGGAAACTTAAGTCACTTTAACCCTTATTCTCATCTTCACTTGATACAGAACTCTGCATTGGAAATATGTTTTTTCTTCAGAAGCTGGAAGGAATTGCTTCAATGTCTCCTAGTCTCCAGGCACACATTGGCTGCCTCTTGAAGTTTTCAAAATCTCTCCCACCCTGTTTCTGAATTCTGTTGTGATGATCCCAACAGGTTGGCTCTGAAGATTACACTTGACCCTCTATGTAGATCTCATGGTAACACTGCCTGAGACACCTTGAGCATTCCTCTGTCCATAGTTACCATCATTCTAGCAATTAGAGCATTTAGATACATGCGATCCTTTTGCTTTTATAAAACCATAATACAAGAAACATTCTTCTATCTGTATATAGATGAGGAGAATGTATGATTATCTTCTTAGGATAAATTCCCAAAAGAGGAATTTCTGTGTCAAATGCAAACACATTTAAATTGCTGAGACCTTTTGCAAAAGCATCTTTCAGGAGTTTTGTCCCGGTTTTCAACCCCTTCAACCTTCACAACAGAATGTGTTCCCCACCCTCAGACTCAAACGCTCATCATTTGCTTTCATCTTTGCCAAAATGATAGATTTTTATTTTAGCTCCTACTTTTCTTAACACACATTCTCATTTTTATTTATATGTATTTATTACAAATATAGTTGTTTGACATTTGCATTTCTTCTTTTCCAAACTGTTTTCTAATATTCTTTATTTTTGAGTGGGGTGTAGATATATTTAAATGTTGAATTTAAGAAGAAAGGAAAAGCAGCCCCGAACATTAGAATTTCTCTGGCACTTAGAGGGAGGCCCAGTGTTGCCCGAAGCCAGCCTGGTGCTCACCACTAGGCTGGGTTACTCTCTGGTTGCCTCTGGGTTACTCTCTGGACATACGCGGACTCACGGAACATCAGCATCAGACAAGGACATCCCGAGACCACAGCAACAGGAGACAAATCAACACCACACTGTGTGTGGTCTCAGCACAGACAGAAAGGAGACAATGGTACAGCTCACACACTACCAAGCAGCTCCTGGGCCAGCCAACAGAAGGGAAGGCAGCGTCTTTCCTATCACCCCTCACCCTCGCTCCCATCTTCCTCATCCAGTCATCTTCTGTCTGGGACAGAAATACACATGAAGCTGCTGTATAACAAACAAAACTAGGTTTCTGTGGGTCTCATGACTTCGAGCACAGGCTATAATCAGTTCCAAACAGGAAACACCTGTCCTCCCACCTGCCTTCCCAGACTGAGGACACTCTCTGAAATCTTATTTCCAGAGGGTGAGCTTTCTTCTAGAAGAACCCAGGGGCAATGTTTTCAGCAGAGTGTGGTGATGCACGGATGCCACCTCAAGGAGAGGGGTTCTAGGAAGTGAGGAGGACAGTGGGGAGACTCCCCATGGTTTACCCAGAACAACCATTCTCAAAGTGTGCTCTGTGGAACCCTTGAAGTTTCTCAGACCCTTTCACGGGATCTATAAGGTCAAAACTATTTTCATAGGTTAAGGACATCCTTGCTTTGTCACTGGGCCCACATGTGCACAGAGGTAAACTTAGCAAGAACAGAGACTGGGACACCCAACTGCATTAGCAGGCATTCCTCACCACCCCCCCTCACAGACTAGACAACAAAACCAGTGTCACTTTACAACGACATGGTTGAAGGATTGAAAAATATTACTTTTACTAAATCATCTTCCTTGAATCAACAGTTTTAAAAATCTTGGTTTCCAGTCAAGATGGCTATGAAGATAAATGGAGTGCTTTCATGACCCTACAGCTACATCAGAATCACAACTGCACTGCAAACAACCATCATTCAGAACCATGATCTTCCTCCAGGTAATAAACCTGAGTTAGAGCACTGAGTTCAGCTTGCTGGGCAGATTTTACCTCCAGTCGATGAGAGCTCTCACTTATGTCCACCATGGAAGTTAGTGGATGTTCTGCTCGCTAATGTCCCTGGTCATCTCTCAGATAACATCCCTCTGTAACCAACTTAAAGCAGCAGCATCAATAGGAGTTTCCTGTAAATCATTCCTAGGAAGCAGCAGGTGGTCAGTCAGCACAACACAACTGTCTCCATGATGTAAAAGGGGTAACAGGTGCAGGGTTAAGGTGATCACACCAAGTTCAAGTGACATCAGGTACAGAGAGCAGGACACTTCCTGAGAAGCCAAAGGACAGGCGGAGATGTGGTGAGTGGGCTGAGAGTTCGGTGAAGAGTCAGCAGAATGAGGAAGACAAATACTTAAGAGAACACCACAACTATCACTTGTGTCTGGTTATGGAGCTTAGAGGTAGCAGACCTGGGTCTCCTCCCACCCCCACACGCGCCCCCACAGGGAGCTGGAAAGAGTCCAGGGGGAGGGCTCAGGGCAGGGAGGGCAGGGCTCAAGGGTTATAGATTCCCCAGCCTTGGGCGGGGCTTCATGAGGCTGACTCAGTTCCCGCCCCCGTGGGCACCTGAATAATAGAGCAACCTATTTTTCTCACTATGGTTTCAGTATCAAGTCCTCAAGATAACGGTTCTCTGTCTCCCAGACCCGCGTGATACGGGTCATGAGACCCAGACCCCTGCTCCTGCTGCTCCTGGGGGTCCTGACGCTGACCAAGACCTGGGCTGGTGAGTGCGGGGTCGGGAGGGAATGGCCAGGGTGCGGGGCTGGAGCGTGGGGACTCGGAGGGGACACAGCACCCCGGACGCAGACCCTGGAGCTCGGACTTCTGCCCCAGCCCTGTCCCCTTCCCCCACCCCTCCTTTCTACCGCAGCCCCCCTTTCGTTCCACCCCTGAACCCATGGGGCCCCTGCCCCTGCCGGCCCCACCAGGGACCCAGGACAAACGTCCTACCCGCCCCCAGACCCCCACAGCCTAAGATACTTGCACACCGCCTTGTACGGACCCGGCCGCGGACAGTACCGGTACATCGTCGTCATCTACGTGGACGACTCGGAGATCCTGCGGTTCGACAGCGACGCCGCGAGTCCCAGGCTGCAGCCTCGGGTGCCGTGGCTGGAGCAGCCGTGGATGGAGCAGGAAGGCGCACAGTTTTGGGAGGAGCAGACGCTGGAGATCAAGCACAAGGAACAGTGGAGCAGAGCGAACCTGAACAAGCTGCGCGCCCACTACAACCAGAGCGACAACGGTGAGCCACGCGCGCCCAGGTTGTGGCAAAGCCCCCATCCCCATGGACGGGCCGCCTTCACCCCGAATCTGAGAGTCTCAGCGTTACCCCGACCAGGGTGGGACCCGCAGGTGTCCCAACCCCGAACGAACACCACGCGGGGATTTTGAGTCTGTATCACTTTCAGTTTAGTATTACTGCAGGGGGCACTGGGTCAGGAGGAACTTTCCTAGGAGCCTGTTTCATTGGTCGCTGCTGACCTCGGGGGCGGGGTCAGTGTCCCCCACTTGGCAGGAAGCGACAGGCTGCGTTGTGGAGTCAGAGGACCGGCGCTTCCTCCACGGATTCAGTCAGTTCGCCTACAACGGCGCCGACTACGTCGCCCTGAACCAGGACCTGCGCGCCTGGAATGGAGCCGCGGGGATCAGCTGGAGCAACATCGTGCGGGTCCCTGACGCGGACGTTCAGAGGGTCTTCCTGGAGGACACGTGTGTGCACCGGCTCCGCCTGTTCCTGGAGAAGGGGAAGGGGACCCTGCTCCGAGCAGGTACCAGGGTGCGGGCCTCCCCGAGGAGGGGATCTGAGGGCTGGGGCGGCTTCCTACAAGGAGAGGAGGGAACTGGGGCAGTGTCAGAATATCCCTCCTTCTCCAGAGAGGGAAGAGTCCCCCGGATTTCCTTATTCTGTGACTCACCCAGGGACCCATCTTTCCTTAAAGGACAATAAGGGACCCAGCCTCTCCCTGAAACACCCGACAGCAGTTCCCTCACACCCTGCAGCACCTGGTGCACCAGGACACTCTCCCTGGTTCTCAGGCTGAGACCCTCTCTGGCGGCCTGATTTGGGCTTTTGTGAGTCATCAGCCTCCCCTTGAGTCTGTGTCTCCACACAGAGACCTGGACACGACTACCCTAGGTTCTCGCCATGAGTCTGGAACGTTCCAGGAAATAAGAGATAATCCCAGGTGACTGTCCAGGCTGGTGTCTGGGTGGTGAGCTCCCTTCCCCCACCCCCACTGTCCTGTCCACTCTCAGGGTGGTCACATGAGCACTGATAGAGTGTCCCATGACCATGCAAAGTTCCTGAATTTTCTCACTGTCCCCTCAGACCCTCCAAAAACACTCCTGACCCACCACCCCATTTCTGACCATGGGGTCACCCTGAGGTGCTGGGCCCTGGGCTTCTACCCTGCTGACATCACCCTGACCTGGCAGCGTGAAGGGGAAGACCTGACCGAGGACATGGAGCTAGTGGACACCAGACCTGCAGGGGACGGGACCTTCCAGAAGTGGGCAGCTCTGACTGTGCCCCCTGGAGAGGAGCAGAGATACATGTGCCATGTGCAGCACCAGGGGCTGCCTGAGCCCCTGACCCTGAGATGGGGTGAGGAGGGGATGTGGGCACAGTGCCTCTTCTCAGGGTGTCCCTGAGCAGGGTCAGGACTCAGGCCTGAAGTTGAGCTCTCACCTTCCCCCTGTAGACCCCTCTCCCCAGACCACCATCACCATCATGGGCATTGCTGCTGTCCTGGGTCTCCTTGGAGCTGTGGTCACTGGAGCTGTGCTGTGGGGGAGGAAGAGCTCAGGTGGGCAAGGGGTGGGGCTGAGTTCCCTGTCCCCCTGGGGGTCAAGCCCAGGTGGAAGTGAGTTCTGCCTCATTAAAGGGAATCGTGTCCCCACACTGGTGCTTGTCCATCTGGGGCCTGTTTCCTAACACTGACTCTTTAGTGAGGCCCGTGGGAAAGTGAGGGACACATTTATCACCTGATGATTCTAGCAATGAGGACTGATACGCAGCTGTCCCAGGTCAGAGGGAAAGGTCCCTGCTGAGGACAGACGTCCAGAGGGGTGTTATGTCCAGTCCCAGCGCATGTACTTTCCCTGTATTTCCTGATCCTACTCCTGCTGTTGAATCACTGCTCTGAAACTTTCCTCATGGTTCAGAAGTGTGGGACTCCTTTAGGGTCACAGGACCCAGCCTTTCCCCTGACTTCACACAGTAGATTTTCTTCACATAGGCAGAGTCAGGGAGAGAGATGCTCAGGCTGCCTGTAAGTCTGGGTGTTGGGAGGTGACGTCTGGGTCCCTTGGGAGAGTGTGGGCTGGATCTGTGAGGGGGGCTCCCCCACCCTGTAACTCTGCTGTTGTGTCTTCCCCAGGCAGTGACAGTGCCCTGGGCTCTGATGTGTCTCTCACAGCTCCTAAGGGTGAGACCCTGAGGGCAGAAAGTGGGGGGCATTGGGACCTAAGGGCACAAATGGGTTTGGGGAATTCCCACAGTGGGACAATTGAGCTGTGGTGGCTGTGGGAGAATGTGACACTTCTGAGACTGACCTGAGTTTGTTCATCACAACTTTCTTTCCCAGCGTGACAGAGCTGCCTTGTCCTGGTTTGGTGCTAAAACAGCCACTGCAGCTTCCCCTTGGGACTTTCAGGATCCCTGACTGAGTTTCTGCAACCAACATCAGAATGTGTCTGCGTTTTCATCAGTATTATGTGAGGAGCAGGTCACCAGGCCACCCTCCCCACAGGGACCTGTGCCCTCTCCCCTGGGTCCTGTCCTGTCCTAGCAGAGTTGAAGTGAGACCATCCCCATCCTGGTCATTTCTCACCTGGGTCATCTTTGTTGCTCCTTTGTCTTTGCCATTTCAGGAGAACCTTGTCCCACTAGGACCTGGGATGCCAGGTACTTCAATGTCACCCAGGGCTTGTCCTCACTCTAGGACTGTGCTCAGTGAGGGCTTTCTGTGACCGCGTCAGCCTGAGCTCAGGCCTGGGTCTGGCCCTCAGCCTCTGTTTTCAGTATTTTATTGTTTCTTTCTTTTTGTACATGTTATATGTATTCTTATTTTCTTATTAAATTAATGGTATATTTTATTAGATTATTGAGGTGTGTTTTATTATATGTATTGGGGCACATTGGATAAGAGGATCGTGTAGGTTTCAGGTGCACATTTCTACCATACAGGATCTGTATATTGCACTGTGTGCCCACCTCCCAGAGTCAAACCATCCTCCCTCACCAGGTATGAGGCCCCTCCTCCCCCAACCCCCTTCCCTCTGGGGACCACCACACTGCTGTCTGTGTCCATGAGTTTCAAATTTATGTCCCACGTGTGAGAGAAATCATAGGGTTCTTAGCTTTTTCTCACTGACCTATTTCACTTAGCATGATATTCCCGAGGTCCATCCATGTTGTTGCAAAGGACAGTATTTTGTCATTTCTTAGGGCTAAGTACCTCCTCCTCAGGGAACTTAGAACATTTTCCCTGTCTCCTGCCCACTGCTCCTGAGGGACATCTCAGTAATGACCATCTCAGTCCCTACTATGGAGACCTGCCTGAGTGTGCCTGCCCTCATGGGGTCATGTCCTGTGTCACGTTCATTGTCCTCACAGTCTGGTCCAGCATCTCCACGGTGCTTCCCCTGCACAGACACCTCCAGAGGCTTCAGCACATTCATACCCCTGTAGCCACCAATGCCCTCCAGTGACCAGAGCCACCCACATTGTGCTCATGCTGGTGGTCACCTGTGTCACCTCCCATGCACTAAATTCTATTTCCAACTTTTCCATCACTGTGTGAGAGGGCCCCCATCTCTGCTGGGTGCAGACCTACCCTAGCTGGCTTCCTGTTCTCCTGCTCCTCACCCCTCATGGCAGATGCTCAGGGATCCTAGAGCTCCTGGGGTCATGAACTGTTGGAAGTGGCTGTTGACAATCTCATCTGTGGGTGTCAGTGTTTACAATATTCTTAATTACATTGTTCAGTGATCCTTCACAGAATGCCAAAGTTGTACATAAAACCCATTAGAACTTGATTTTTTAAGTTAAAATATAACTGACACACAACTTGTGTAAGTGTAAGGTGCCCGAGTGTGTTTATTTCATGCACTTACATCACTCATGTGCCCCCTAAAGGTGGTGATGCACCCTGAGAAATGTGTGGTTGTGCGATGCTGTGGTTGTGTGAACAGCACAGAGGCTCTCACACCTGGATGGTCTCCCTACTGCTCATCTGGACTGCAGGGCTCAGCCTGTTGCTTCTGGGCTGCAAGTCTGCACAGCACATTGTTCTACAGAGCAACTTGTACAATAATCAACACAGCAGAAAATGAAAACTTCAAGAGACTCTGTAAAGAGTAAGTGTAGGATTTGGTTCAAACTTTGAGCAAACTTTCCTACCTCAAAGGTTTTCCCTTTTTTAACCTTACCCTGAAGGTGTGGTTATTGGTATGAGAGTGGGAGAGACTGACAAAGAGAAACAGACCAGGAGCCTTTACTCTTTTTGATGAAAACTTCTTTAGCATCATATGGGATTTCATGTGCACAGATGAACAAACTCCTTTACTTTAGTTGTAATTTCTCATTTATAGGTTTTAACATTTTATAATTTTTACAGGGAATATGCATGCATCATATAAATTGCCTATTATCTATATGTACATAATTAATTTAAAAAGTGTTGTTTACATGTATGGAAGGGAAGGCAGACAGGGAGGAAAGTGAAGAGGTCAGCTAAGGGCAGACAGTGTTGGGCTCCATGTCTGGGCTCTGGACAATGTACTTACACACCTTCCCCCACTCCTTACTCAGGATGCTGCCCTCTGTGGAGGCCAAGCTGGGTTATTTCCTTCTTCTGGGCCATGGTCATTCTCATCTCCTCAATGATCTGTTGCTTTTAAGAGGTGACTTTTTTTATTACACATTGCATTTTCACCCTTTTTCAGTGGGATGATTTGGGCACATCCTCTAGCCCTTGTTGTCAGGAAAGGAATTTCTAAAGCCAACGGTTGGTCCCAGTGAAGAGGGTCAGAATCTGAATTTTAAGACGTGATGTGAAGATGATCTGTCAGAAGTTTCATAAGTGAAGGGATTTTATGTAACTTGTTCTCTGAAAACATTACTCATGCACATATAGGAGTACTCAGAAGACTCTCAAGAGGGGGAGAAGATACGGAGAATAAGTAGCATAGATGGTAGGTAGAAAATAGACGGGGAGGGCATGAGTAGTATGGGAAATGTAGAAGCTAAAGAACTTATGACACATGGACATGAACTAAAGGGGGGAATGTGGGTGGGAGAGGGTGTGCAGGGTGGAGGGGAGTGAAGTGGGGGAAATGGGACAACTGTAATAGCAAAATCAATAAAATGTAATTTTAAAAAAAGACTCTCAAGAATATACAAAATTGAATGAGTTACACTGTCCCCCTGCCCCTTCAGTCACCTCAGTCCTCTACCTGGAAACCATCTCAGTGAGTCACTTCTGCTTCCTCCTCCCAGAAAAATCCACCTGTGCATTAATGTTGCTGTTATGTGTGTAAAAACAGCTCAGGCCACAGACTGGGAGAAAATGTTTGCAAATCATTGTTTTAGAATATACATAAGAATCCTGGCACTCAACAAGAAGAAAACAACAACTCAATACAAAGTGATCAGTACTCTAGACAGACACTTCACCAAAGAATCTGTGTCAGCCTTGGGTGGGTGGCTCAGTGAGTTAGAGTATTGTCCCATGCAACCATAGGTTGTGGGTTTGACCCCTGGTCAGGGCACATAGGTAGGTTTAGTGTACGATCCCCAGTCCAGGCGCCCAAGGGAGAAACACTACTATTGTGTTTCCCCCTCATATCACTGTTTCTCTCTCAGTCCAGTTCTCTGACCCACTGGGCTGCTCATGACTCAGTGGTCCCAACTCACTTGGTAGCACGAGGCTTAATCAAAACTCTCTCCCACCTCCCCCAATACACATCTGATGCCAGCTCTAATGGCCAGTGCTCACACTGACCTTCCTGTACCTGGGAACAGCCTGGCTCTTTAGGTTCCCTACTGCCCTGGCTCACATCCTGCAACCCTGAGAAAACAGCCCAGAAGAACACGACAAGAAACCCTCCCCTACCCCCCTACAACCCCTGTGCTTTCTCTTTTAAAAACCCCATTCTTGCCTCCCGCTCCCCCACCCAGGCTGCAGTCTGGTCCAACTCAGCCCCCCTGTAAATGCAGCATCAAATAAGGGCACTTGGATTAGATCATCCAGCTCCTCCCACCTCTACTCTAACAATTTTTAGATTGTTGCACATTTCTAACAGTCTCTGTGTAGATCCCAGGGTGCTGCCTGAGACACCGTGAGCATCCTGTGTGCACAGTTACCATCATTCTGTTGACTGGAGCATTTGGTGACATTCCACCCTTTTGCCTCCATAAAACCACCACACAACATCCATACACACACACACACACACACACACACATACATATATATACATATACATATATATACACACACACACACACACACACACACACACACACATGTGATTATCTTCTTTGGACAACTTCCTAAAGAAGGAATTCCTGTGTCAAAATATAAGCACATTTAAATTCCTGAGACCTTTTACAAAAGCATCCTTCAGGAGTTTTGTCCCACTTTTCAATACCTTCAAACTTTACAACAGAATGTGTTTCCCACCCCCGGGCTGATACGCTCACCATTTGCTTTCATCTTTGCCAAACTGATAGATTTTTATTTTCTTCCTATTTTTCTTATTCTGCATCCTCGGTTTTGCTTACATACATTTATTACAAATGTAATTGTTTACCATAGGCATTTATTCTTTTTCAAATTGTTTCTTAATATTCTTTATGTTTTTGCTCAGCTGTCATTTTTTTTAATTTTTAGAGAGGAGACGGGAGGGAGAGAGGGAGAGAAACATCAATGTGTAATTGCTTCTTGTGCGCCACCTACTAGGGACCAGGCCAGCAAGGCAGGCATGTGCCCTGACTGGTACTGAATTGGCCACCCTTTGCTTATCAGCCCAGCACTTAATCCACTAAGCCTCACCAGCCTGGGCTGAGTTGTAAATATTTTAGATATTGAATTGAAGAAGGGCAAATAAAATGCCAGAGTTATAAAGCTCTCCCCAGACCAGAATAAGCCAAAGGACTTTATCACCACCAAACCAGTATCACAAGAAATGTCAAAGGGTCTTTTTTTAGAACAACAAGAAGAGGAAAATAAAAATACCCATAATGAAATGGCAAAAAATACATGTCTATCAAAATTTATTGTAAATAAAAATGGATTAATTGCTCTAAATAGGAAAACAAGACCCTCACCTGTGCTGTCTTCAGGAGACTCAGTCTGAAGGACACACACACAGACTGGAAGAGGAGGAATGTAGAGCACGTTTCAGGAACATGGAACCAGCAAACAAACAAAGCTGGGGTAGCAATGCATACACCAGACAACACAGACTTGAAAACAAAGGTGACATAAGGAGACACAGAGAAGGAAGGACCCAGCATTTCCACTTCTGGGTATTTATCTGAAGAAACCCAAATCATTACACAGAAAAGACATACACATCCATATGTTCACTGCAGCCTTATTTACCAAAGCCAAGATATGGAAACAACCTAAGCGTTTTTCAATAGATGAATAGAAAACACACAAGTGGTGCATGTACACCACAGAGTATGACTCAGCCACAAACATGCATGAAATCTCTCCATTGGCAACAACGTGCATGGACGGTGTTGTGCTGAGTGAAATACATCACACAGAGAAAGACAAATGCCAGGTGACTGCACTTCCATGTGGAATCTATCAATTAAGTCATCGAGCAGAACAGAAAGAGACTCACAGATACAGGGAACAGACTGATGTTTGCCAGATGGGAGGGGGTGAGTGGGCCGGGGGAAAATGGTGGAGGGATTAAGCAGTATAAATCGGTCACTTACAGGATAATCAGGGGGATGTAAAGTGCAGCACAGGGAATATAGTCATTAATAGTTTAATAACTACAAATGGTGCCAGATGGGTTCTGGATTTATCGGGGATATCAGTTTGTAATTTATATACATGTCTATATCACAGAGTCGT